TTTTTTGTTTTTGTTTCCAATCCAATTTCAGGTAAAAGTTTTCCATCTCAACCCATCGCTGCCGCAGATAGACCTTGCCATTTTAGGCAGAGCTGACTTTTTCATCGGCAACTGCGTGTCATCGTTTTCCTCATTTGTCAAACGTGAAAGAGATTTTAGTGGAAAGCCTTCTTCGTTCTGGGCTTTTGATGAAAATCAACATCAGTAACTGCGGCCGTTGGTTACCTTTTTGGAATACAATCAATCTCGAGTATAGGCACCAATAAGATGGGTGTTCGGATTTTCCCGGAACCTTTATTCCGAAACTCAGAAAGGACCTAAAACGAAGACAACTTGCGTAGAGGCTGTTAACGTCCCTGTACCAGTTTAGTGGGTCCTCTGTATAACGGTTATGGTGCCGTAGAATGGAATAACGGGCCAGAAAAACGATGCTGAGCGTGTAGCACGTTTTTGGGCCTGTAGGCGATAACAGGCGTTTAGTTATCTAGATCAGAAAAAAATACTTAAATTTATTATGCATAACATTGCTATTACAAACAATTCTCGTGTCTCGGAGCTCGGTACTCCACTTGAAGATTTGAAAACCATTTCCCAATCAAAATTAACGTCAAAATATCTCTCGACAAAGACACTTTATTGGCATGTACTGCTATACATATAAGAGTGCCTCCACTTATATTTCACTCTGAAAGCGCCAAGCTGTGAAGTTTCTACATGTTTCCGAATTACAATTGCGTTGATCAAAACGAGTGGAGTTGAAATTTGATAAAAAAAAGTATCTCCATTTGTCCTTTGAAAAGGTGCAACTGTTTCAACTCTAGGGGCAGATCTAGAGGGATGGTGCAGGGGGTACGCCGGGGTACTGGGTGAAGCCTGGTTGAAACCGTCTTCGTATTCGCCTTTAAAATTTGTTTACCTCACCAGTCAGTAACGCCATTCCTTAGTGGTGCATCCTTCCTAAGAAAAATCCTGGATCCGCCCTTGAGCTCAAAATCAGTCCGAGCAGACTTTCACAGCCTTTAGCCAAGATTTTCTCGCCTATGGAAAACGCAAAAAGAAATTGTCACAGAACTTCAGTTTTATTGCAAAAAAGTATAATTTTCCAAGCGTTTTTTTTTTTTTTTGTTAAGTGATATTCATGCAAGACTGCGAGAATAGAAACAGATTACACGGCACTCTCCTCGGCGTTTCTGGGCATCAACTCAAGCGTGCAAAATCCTATAGAATATAGCAATGACATGATTCCTTGCAACGAGTTGTTCGCGTCCAGGCACCGATATGCTGATAAAGGAAAAAGCCCACTTTGCCCTCTCGTATTGGTTATTTACAATGCCTCCATTTAGCACAACAGTGCTAAATGGCCTCCCTGAACTCTCCCCACTATATAAGCTAATACAGTACATGGTGTAAGTAAAATCCTAAGCCACGAAATAAAACCGTCGGAACTGCTGAAAACAAGCAAATCACCGACATCGCAATCTCACCAGTGCACCATTTCCAATATCGATATATTAAAATTCAGCCAAACACAATAGACCTCAGCACGAGGCTCTGGGGAATAAACCCCACAAACTCTGCGCCAGAAAGGCATTCTGGGTGAGTTGAAGCACATGGAAAGCAGCGTCCATTGTGGATTCAGAAGCTCCCGAAAGGTTGGTTGAATTTGTGCTTGTTTTTGCTCTGTTACTCTGCAAAAAAACTTTCATACCAGACTGCGATAGAGGTTTAAACTAACTACTTAACAAATGACAAGTCCTGAAAGCACACAGTTAATTTATTAACGAAAATACTGGACCTCGACCACAACCCACGTGCAAGCAACACGTACACTGGATTCAAGAAAACTCGATAACAATTTGTTCACTCCAGCTTTTTTTCCGCAAACCACCATAACTTGCTATTAATCTAGTTATAATTCCAAATTGCTTAAGGGATAATATAGTTACAATTTATCCTCTTCAATGAATTTGCTGAAGAAACAATTCTGGAATACTACAAACTCATCAAGTCTTTCTTCGTCATTCTTTGCCACAAGTTCTTTTCCCGTGAGTTGCGAATAGCAGTATATATTCTCAAGTGTAAGCAAATTGAATGTCGGCTTTCATTCAACTTTGATGGAAGTATGGAAAGAAAGAGAATGCGATCTTGACAGTTATATTTCTGAGAGAAGTCCTGAAAAAAATTCAGGCTCCAACAGAACCCTTGTGATTTGATGTCATGCCTCACACTCTCCTAACTTTTCTCAAACTCCTGATTAAATCTGAGGACTGGAGAAAAAAAATGCAAATGTTTAATATTTTTATAGGTCATATTCATATTTTTGAGACTGGAATGGAACTAGCTTACAGTGGTGGCTATCATACAGGGTCTGAAATTGCGCTTTCCTGGTCGCCAATGCGACTAAAAATTTTGTACTGGCGACCAGAATTTTACAACTGGTCGCCAGCGGGCGATTAACTATTTCATGCCACAGTAATTGCACAAAAAAGAACTTTGATTTTAGCCAAATTGATTAAAATAAAATTCAAAGCCACCCGCCAATTGGTCACTTCCTTTTTACCTTGCCGCTGCTTTTGAAGTATAAAACCGATTTTCCTGTTACCATAAATCTACCACAACATTTTACAGCTATGATCAGTGTGAAGCTTCGCCGCCATGTTTTTTCAGCGGTTTCCCATGACATACGTATTGCGGGAGCAAAGGAGGCCCCATGCGTTCTTTCGCCATGAATATTTATTCAGGCGATGCGGTGTCCAAAGATGTTCTGAAATCTTTCCGTAATTTATTACAAAGTAGAGATGGAATGTCTGCGAAGAAATTAGATGAAGATTTAGATATTCTGTGGGCATCAAACAGTGGAAATGTAGATCTGTGGTCAAAAGATGATTTCAGCACTGGTTTGATTCCTGATTACATCGAATGCAAATATTTTGGCGGCAAGCCCGTGGTGACCAAAAATTTTGGTTTTTGTTTTGCTGTGAAGGAAAAATTTTAATGACACTTTTTGGCGACCACATTTTTCCATATGGCGACTGCAAAAAAAATTTCGGTCACCAGTTGGCGCCTGCCAAAAAAAGTTAATTTCGGACCCTGTCATAGAAGAATATTGTTGAAAACAAAGCTGATGCAACTTGCATGATTCTCCTGCCTTAGCCAGAATTGCAACTTGTCAGATGTGCTCTTAAACACACTTTCGTTTCACATACAACTGACCGTGTTACGTCCTTTTATCTAAGCTAGCACAATATATATAACCAAATACAGTAAGACACTACGGTAGGTTCTGTCCATATGACCTGTTCTAGGAACGTGAAAATCGCAGGTTCGTCAGATCCTGAACAGTTTCTTCAGGCTTTCTTTTCAGCTGCTTAAGTTGAAATACAACTGAAGATCTTGTTCTTTTTGTTTGTCCATCCATTGTTGTTATCAGCTTGGTGTAGTTTGTATTGTTGGATAAGCAAACAGGTGTGAATAATGATATTGTTGAGCTTGATGTGGTTGAACATTGCATTCACTGGGATGACGAGTAAATCAAACTTTCGTTCTTCTGATACAAGACATGAGTGAAAATGTTTATTAACTGACCAGTGAATTCAATGCATTTGCTTGCTTGGATGCCATTCTGGTTTCCAAACTTTGACTCTTATTTGTTAAATGTATGTTGACATATTGGTTGATCTTTTTACAGGGCAAAATGCAGAAGATGAGCACAAAGAAAAAGGGCAGGGACCCACCAGTGAAATTAACATCCAGTTGTGGGGTATGGGCAATACCTAAGAATACTGCTTGTAAGTTCTTCACTAAGTATTTGTTTGTTTGTAATTTAGGTCATACAGGGCTTTTACCAGATAGCATTGACCTTCCTTTGTGCTCCTCAATGCACAAAAAATGTTCTGAGGGAACTTGATGTGTTCTGAAATTGCAAAATAACCTGAACCCAATAAGGCAAATATTTCTAAGTTGCTGTTGGCCTGTTCATACCTGGTACCTCCACATCTCTTGAATAGTAATTTAGGAACTTCGTTAATAAGCTGTGGATTGATAAGACTGCAAAGTGTATTTTACTATTTGTACAACAGTAGTCTGATGGCTGGTACCAAAATAGCAGATATTATTGCATTTTGATCAGTATTATTAGTGAGGCAATTGTGCACTACAAGATTTATCACACAAGATTGTCTAATAGTGATTTATTTTTTGTCGAGTTTACTTTGTCACTGCAGTGATGACAAAAGAAGGCTTAATAGATGAGTGGAGTACTACCCCACTTTGCAGTGAATGCAAACAAGAATGTCTGAGCAGTGTAGTGAATCTTTTGCCCCTTTGTATGTTATATGCTTGATGGAAATCCTCTTCTTTAACCTTTGATACACTAACATCCTTTTATTATTACATCAGCATCTTTCATATCCTTGAGATGGAGTCAAACTACTGACAATAAATATTTAAATCCCCTGTAGAGGTAAGCCTTTAATCAATTTTCTTGGCCCAGAAACACTGCATAGAGGCAGTAATTTTTTTTTTAGATTAATTTATTGTTAGTAGGGAAAATGTATGTAATGCACAGACACAAGACAAAATTAAACATTTTTTTATTATCTTAAAAAACCAGTATATGTAATTGCTTTTTGCACAACTTTGTTAATAGTCTTGTACCTGCATATAGTCAACAATAACTTGGACAAAGTAATAAATTGAAGTCTGCTGTTTTGAAAAGTGTCAAATTTTGGGGAATTGTTTGACATCAGATTCCCAAATGAAAGCACTATAGACCCTTTTCATAAATGGCTGCCAATTTAAAATTCTTTTGTATGCATTTAAATTAGCCTCACTAAACTTGTTTGGGAATAAAAATTCTTTTGAATTATCTACTCAAAAACGAGGTTAGTCAGGCTAATTTTAATACTTACAAAAGAATTTATAATTGGTAGCCATTTATGAAAAGGGTCTTTGTGTATGTGTTTTGTCAAGTTGTAAAGGTTTTTGACAACTGCTAATAAATAAGTGTTGCTGGATGATGAGACTTTGCAGAGGTATTGACTGCATGTCATTTATCATGGCAGTGCAGAATGACTCACTGAATTTAAGTCGCTGACAGTTTGTGTTCTTCAGATTTTTTTTTGACTACTTTCTGACACAAGTTATTTTTTAAGTTCTTGCCAGTAGAACTTAATTCTATCTCTGTCTTAGGGCTTCACATCTCTTGTAAAATGAGGGGAAGAAAGTGGATTGGTAAAAGATAGGTGGAAGATCAATTCACAAGTCTCATGGCAAAATGAATATTGAACTGCTCAGTGGCTTTGGAAACCATTTTACATGCAAAAAGGGTAAGTAGTGCAGCTACAACTTCATGTTTTTATTCAGATTTTCATGTGTGGCAAAGACAAAGGAAAGCTGATGTGATCTCTTGTTTTTACATCTTAGACAATTTTGATGTTAAGTTTGAAAGTAACAACCCTTAAAAGGAGCAAATGTTTGAAAGTGGCCCCTAAATTGTATTTGTTAACAAATTCCTAACCCTAGCAACCCTCTGAAAGTACCAAATTACCTCAAAAGTACCA